TCTATTTCCCACGCGTGCTATTTCTTTTTTCAACTTTTGCAGTATGTTCTTCATCTCCAGAAGTTCTATTTGGTTCTTTTTGTGGGTTTCAATCTCCTTGCTCTGCTCATCTAGCTGTTTTTTTTTTTTTTTGAAATTTCTGAAATGTTGATTTCACAAGTTTTTTCAGTTTTCTCAGAAGTACCATCCTGAATTCTCTGTCACTAAGTTGCATATTTCTATGTCTATAAGCTTATTTTCTGGAGATTTTTCTCTTTCTTTCTGAGGTGCCTTGTCACCTTGGTTGTTCATGGTGTTTAATGGACTATTTCTCCGCCCGGGCATCAATGGAAGTGTATTATGTTGTTTATCCAGAAGGAAGATTTATTATATAAAAGTCTCTCGTTAGCCTGCTGCAAAGGAGCTTTTCCTTTGGTTTCAAGTAGGTGGCATCTAAGCCTTTTGTATCCTGCTATATAAAGTGCCTAACGTCTTTTATTTTCTTGCAGATTTTAATCACACTCGCTACTCTGTTTCAGTCCCTGTCAGTATCGTTAGCAAGTTTTGGTAGCGTTTGCTCAGATTCCCCTGGTGATAGGTCTCAGAGGGTATGCGGGGGAGGGGCCCTCTGGGTTGGGGATTTGCGGCTGTGGCTCAACCTCGGTTTTGCAACCAGGACAGTAAAAATCAACTGTTGTTTCTCTGCTGTCCAGTGTCACTTCTCTGAGACTTTTTTGCCCTGATGACTGAGCCCTGCTGCGGGCTGAGTAGAAAAGTCCTGACACTTCCATACAGGCTGATGAGGGAAGTCGCTGCACCTTCACTTCTCCCCCTCCCCTTGCAAGTAGTTCCAGAGACTGCCAGAGGCAGCTCTTTATTTGTCCCAGTCCACTCCCTGACACCGGGGGTTCTGACCTGTGGTAGGTCTTATGCGCAGATCCCATGCTCAGACGTGCTGGTGTGCAGATTGGGTGTATTTTGTTCAGTTTTAGATATTCAGCTTATTGTTGTTTCAAGGGGAGAGATCTGGGGACATCTCTCACTCTGCCATATTTTCCCTAATTTGTTTTTGCATTTAGCAACTAGGCTATGCCAAATTCAACAGAACAGTTTTTGGCTATAGGTCCTTATTTTCCCCAAATTCATCTGTTTATTCAGCCACCCATTTATTGAATGGCTACTATAAACCAGGTACTATGGCTGGCAATACAATGGTGAGCAGAGTTGGCTTTGCTAACTATGACAAATTCTTGCATGTTTACAACAGTAGTGTGTTGACTGAAGGGAAGACTGGACTTCCCTTCCCTGTGCTGCACTGGGGAGACTCCAAATTACAGTGATCTATGATGAAAAGGGACTAAACCATAGTAATTTTTGACCAAAGGCTAAGAAACCATGTATATCGATATCTCCTGTGACCTTGAGTACCAGGTGACCTTTCCCCCCAATATTGTATGCTAAGAAGTTAATATTTGCAGCTCTTACACTGGCCTATGTATAACTCATGTTCGATGAGCTTTCAGTAAGAAGAGCTAGAAGAGCTGGAAGGGAGTTTCGAGACCAAGGGCACTCAACCTGTTCTAGTCTCAGCGTAGCTGAGGGTGATAACACACACAATGGCTCACTCCTGACAATGATGGGGTGGAAGAGGAGATAATGTAGAATTGCATTCTTGGTGGGGGAGACAGGAAGGGCTAAATGTAATTTTAAAAGCTAGGTCATTCCTAATATATCCCTAGCCAATTCCCAGAGAATCCCTAAGCGGAGAGGTAAAATATTCTGCCTGAGATTATACAAAGTCAAAACTAAACCCCAAATTCTCCGATTCCCAGTGTAATGTGCTTTCAATTGCACCAAACTATTAATTTCAGTGAAACAAACCCAAGTTTTAGTAATAAAAGGTTATTTTGCAATGTCTCTCTGCTGGAAAACAGGTCTCATAAAAGGTTCTAACCAATCAATAAAGGCTCGATAATACCACTTGTTTTTGAAGCTTTGGTTTAAAAAACAAACGAAGAATTCAGAGATGATAATGAACGTTCCAGGAACCACCCTCCCCCCACCCCCCCACCCCCGCCAAAAAAAAAGACAAGAAACAAAAGGCAAAAAAAACCCAAAAACCCACCAATGTAAAGAAAAGCACAGGGGTGGGGGCAGGGGGTGTATTACAACTAACAGGCTATTATCAAAATGCCACAGTACCTTCCATTTGGTCCACTGTTTTTGAGTAGAGGCAAAAAGAAAATGCATCAAGGTACAGGAAAGCTAGGTTTCAGTGTTGGTTGTTTCCCTAGCTTCTGGGTATTTTCTCATCTGTAAAATGAAGATGATTTCTGCCTTCTTAAAAGTTACAGCGTGGTAGAACTATGCCATTGTAGAACCCATGTCTCTTGACAATTGATTCAGTAGTCTTTATATTCTTGACCAGGGATTCTTAGCCTTTTGGGGAGTCACAGATACCTTTGAGAATCTGACAAAAGCTACAGAATCCTCTTCTTCGAAAAATATACATACAAATTTCCACATTCAATTTTAGGTAATCAATAGAACTGTGAGGCTGGAGCCACACACTCCAAAGTAAAGAGCTCCCACACTGTATCAAACTTGCTGACAGATGACTTGGGGGCTTGATAGTGTAACAGGCTATGGAAACAGAAAGCAGCAGCAAAATTCATGAAATTAATTCATTATAGTGGTATGGTAATTCAAAACACTGGGGTCATGCAGTTAAGTCAAGATTATGAAGTAAAATGCAGATTTACCTTGAATCTCATAGAACCTCCCTGAAATTGTGGGTTCTCTCCAATAGATACTTAAGAATGTAAATTTTTTCACTGCTTCCATTTACCTATTTCTTCCACCTTACATTCTCAGTTAAGCTTTACAATTAAAACTGTCATCTTCCTCAAGTTCATTTTGTATCAGCTTCAACTATATCAGCTTTCCTTATAGGGAACAGGTAACAATCTGATCAATATCCGAGGCGATTAACATCCTTAGTTTATACAAATCAGTGATTTAAATATTGTTAACAAGCCACTTGATTTAAAATGCCAACAGCCTACAAATTACCGGAGGTTTAGTTCGATCTGTAATGCTTATTAAAGAAGTAGGATGAGTTTTCTTTTTACACCACAAAGTTTATTACCTTAGACAACTTTAATCATGCTAAAAAATATTGGAAAGAAATTATTTTCCCTATTATCAATTCTATCCCTGATATTCAATAAACAAAGTTTAGTTCCATTAAGAAGCTGCTTCCCTGATTAATATTTGTAAAGATCAGCACTCAAAATATTTATGTAAAAAGGGTTTGCATATCAAAACCATAGTTTGTTGACAAAACTCATTTTAGCTACTGGTCACTAAGTCTCTGACCCAAAATTAAAGAAAGTTTGTGGGCTCACTTACTTTAAGCAATATTTGCAGCATAAAATTCAAATTAAAAAAATAATTTGAAGAGTCACTTGGAGGTCATTAGATTTTATGACTAGCAATCATTTAGGATATCTCCTTAAATTGAGATCAAGTTTATACTTATTAATTTCCTTTTACTCCACATTTAATTAGCAATTCAGAAGATTACTATTTTAAAGATTATAGCTGCAGGTCAAGCCTCACTAATTTTATTGACGTTAGAGTTACTAGAAACTGAAAAATGTCTTTATAAAGGAAGGACTTTAAGGCTTAAGTGGGAGTTTAACTGATTTGAAAGAAAAATTTGGAGATTCAACAATTTGTTTTCAGTTTCTGAAATACAAGTCAAAATACATTGTTACATTGCGTGTTAACAAGCATGACATTCCTTTTAATACAGGACGACTTAATATAGGTACTTTAAAACTTCCTTTTTAAAAACAATACATTTCATGGAGAGAAACGGCTCATTAATAAGATACATGGGCTATCATTTTTTATTATTTTAGTGTTTATGAATGACAAACTTGGATAGCAGGCCCTCCAACTGAAAATTTGGTCCTCTAAAATATATAAGTATTCCTTATAGCAAAAATAAATGTACTGTTGAAAAAAACAGAAATATTTGGTACAGGCTTCTGGGTGAACTTGAAAAATGAGTTAGGATGTGTTTCAACTATACAGAAGGAACATTCTAGAATCCACCTAACAACATTTGGCAGGACAACTGGCCTGATGTTATTGGGGTTGTTCTGCCTCAGAGGGAGACAGAAGGTGTGGGGGATGGGGTGCTGGAGACTCATAACAGCCACAGAATTACTTACTCCAAATTAACCAAAATTCAATATGGAATAATATACAACACAGTAAAACAATCTCAACAGTTATTCAATGCCTGGAAAGCAAACTGTAAGTTTAGAACGAATACCTCAGCAAGAACAATCTTCAAAATATTTATAAGACTTTGAAGGTGAAAAAAATTTCATTATTCAGAGATGATATCTTGTGCGTAAGTACATTAGTTTCCAGGACACTGGGGACAACCACAAAACATACAAAGAATAAATCCAAGTTGCTTAACCTTCCACCATTCTCTTGAGTGTTAAACTCAGACCACCTTTGGCCACTTGCAGGGGTGTCTTTTCTTCTTTATTTTCAATGTAAATACTTGCTCCTTGGGACACCAGCAGTTTTGCTTCTTCTACTCTCTCCTCGTCACAGGCTAAGTGTCTGAAATCGAGGATCACAAAGACCAATAAATCAATATCAATTCTCTGTAATGGCTAGGGTTTCCTGATAGGTACTCTAAAATGCATATTATTAGGTCGTGTAATATTGGGAAGTTATTTAATCAGGAAAGGAAAATCAATTTGTGTGGGGAAGAGTGTTTGTAAGTTAAAATTCAGTGAAATAGCTTTATAATACCAGATTGTGAATCATAACTCTGGTCCTACTGCAACAGAAAAAGGGATCTAAATGCCAGTCTAATAAATAACTTTATTTTATTGAGATTTAAAGTAATTAACACCAAACACATGTAATCATTCAGGATTAGAATTTAGAAAAGCCCCAATTCAGAATATACTAGTAGGAATTTGTATGGTTTACGTTTTGGAAAAAAACAGTTTAAAAGAGTTTATCCCATTTGATCCTTATATGCACCTTGTAAGTTAGCAAGCTATTATTATCATTTTACAGTTGAAATTGTGACAGAGGTTAAAGTCCTTGTCTATGATGACATGGCTGAGCTGTAACGGAAGGAAGGATCCTTGTTAGGCACTTAGTCTGCTAGGCAGGGTATTAGACACTTCACATATTATTTTATTTAAACCTCACAACAATCTACTGAGGAAGGAATTATTATCCTTACATTATAGGTGAGGAAATTAAGACTCAGGAAGGTAAAGTAACTTCTCTGAGTTACTTAATATAGGTACTATTTAATAGAGTTTGTAACTCCTAAGCTCTTCCCAGAACCCTATCTATGCTGCCTACTTAGATTTCTCCAGGCTACCTTGTCTTTCTTGTTATGGAGAAAAGAGCAAGAATATGCCAGTCTCTCTAAATGAAGTCACACAGAACTACAGAAAAGATTTTTAAAACGAAGAGTTAAGAAAACAATACTTTTTAAAAGTTGGTTTAAAGTCAAATAAGAAAAGGCCGAATCTCACTTTAGACTAAAGAGAAGAATCATAGAATTTCTGGTTAAAAAAAAGTCACCATTCCATAAAGAAGAAAAATGGCCAAGTAGAGAAAACATCAAGGTGGAGGATAGCTTCAGGCCACACACATAATTCAATTCCAAATGGATCTGAGTTAAATGAAAAACAATAACAATAACTCTCAACTCAAGCCCATGCTACAATAAAATAATAGGTGAATATTTAACTAATTTCAGGGTGAGGAAAGACTTTCTAGTCATGAGGGAAGATTAACAGGTTTGAATATATAGAAGTTGAAAACTTATTTTAAAATATCACGAACAATGTGAAAAGACACACTGGGGAAATATTTTCTTCTACCATAGCTGAAGGTTAATATTTTTACTATGTCAAGTCAAGGGTACTTAAAAAATCAGTAAAATAAATTAATTCTTCAAAAGGAAACAAAAAGGGACACAAAAAGTTACAATTAAGAAATGTAATTAGTCATAGGCTTAAAAAAATGTTTAACTTCGCTGATAATAAAGTTAATTAAAACTATAAAATATCATTTTTCATACAACGAAATGATATTTTCAGTGTTGATGAGAGGGTAATAGGCACTTGCAAACTGCTGTTGGGAGGGTACAACGATGTTAACTCCTCTGGAAGTAATTTGGCAATATATACCAATAGTCTAAAATGTGTGTATTGATTGACCCAGCAATTCTACTTCTAGAAGTCTAAACTAAGGAATAATCAGGAATCTGGCCAAAAATTTTTGTACAAAGTTGGTCAATGTAGCATTATTTATAATAGTGGAAAACTCAAAAAAAATTAACCATACAGTAATATAGGAATGATTAAATTATGGAACATCCATAAAATGGAATCATATACAACCATTCCAAAATGTTCAAAATATATTTAATAACATTGAAAAATGCTCATGATATATTACGAGATGAACAGAACAAGATATAAAACTACACACATACTATGATCCAAATTTTACCAAAAAATGTAAAATATGCAGTTGCATACAAAAGACTGGGAGCTGGAAGGAAATACATAAAAATGTTATCACTGGTTATTTCTGAGTGGCAAGATGATAAGCATTTTTATTTATTTTTTAACGCCTACAGCACCTGGTCTTCCTAGGTGGTCTCCCATCCAAGTACTAACCAGACCCGACCCTGCTTAGCTTCCGAGATCAGATGAGATCGGGCACGTTCAGGGTGACATGGCCGTAGACTGCATTTTTAATTTTTATCTTTATATTTTTGTGTACTTTCAAATGTTTTTGCTATAAACATGTATTACATTTATTAGCAGAATAAAAAAAAGAAATGATGTGTAAGAATTAGTGCGAGAGGGCTAATGTCAGGTAGAATACAAATGACTGCTACTTGTCACTTACAGAGGTGTGTTACCCTCAGTGTCTTGGATGTTTGTGGATGCTTTGTAGTACAGAAGGATATGAATCATCTTCAAGTTACCCTTGGCTGCTGCCCGGTGCATTGCTGTAGCCTCGTAATGGTCCTTAGCATCTGGATTAGCCCCGCCTTCCAGTAACATGACAGCGATCTGGAAAGATGGAGAAGAAAACAATGCAGAGATCTATTTGTGTTTGCATATAGGTTTAGAACTCAAAAGAAGTTGCCTAGGAATAAAACCCTACCTCATGTCTGTTTTTGGAAGCTGCATAATGTAGGGGAGTACAGCCATTTTGATTGACAGCATTCACTTGAGCACCTCTTCCCAGAAGGGCTTTTACAATCTCATCCCGGCCAGCAGAAGCAGCAATATGAAGAGGAGACCAACCTGCCTGTAAAAGAGGTGGGCAGTACAAAAACCAGGGGAGAAAGGCACAAGGATTAATGCTAACATTTATCCAGGGTTTACAGAGAGCATTCGTTCTTTTCCCCTCATTAAGCACTGCAGAAAATTTGGAAAGCAGATGTATACAAAAGAAAAGAAAAACCACCCATAATCCCATAACACAGAAATAATGATATGTAATTCTAATTCTAATGTGTTTTCAAATTGGGATCATAGGATATAAAGTTCTGCAAGTTGTATCTGCCACAATTTCTACTTACCATTTTGTTGTGAGAATTTTTCTATGTCATTCTTTGGAATACAATAACTTTATTGGTTGCATATTATTTTATCATATGGATATACTACTGCATCCAACTGTTCTTACATTGTTTTTATCTCTTTGCTATTATAAATATCATTTCAGTGAGCATCCTTGAAAAGGAATCTTTGCCTGCAAAAAAGTTTTCATCCTTATTCTTTACAAGTCTTATCCTAATATAATCGATACCATTACGATAAATAACAAAAAATATATCTAGGCCCTCATTACTCAGGCAATATTCACCAAAATATTTCCAACATAATAAGGAGGGTCTGTAGTCTCTTAGAGACTTCCTAAGGAAACAGTTTATTCATCGTACTGCTCGGGGTAGCATTCAGCCTAGCCACAGAGGTCATCATAATAAGCTTTGATCTGCATGTTTATTTTAAAATGCAGGGTACGAATGGCAAAACTAATATTTTAAAGTAATGCAACCACTAGTCCTGTGCTTGGTCACCAGGGTCATACTGTAACTTCTTAGCCATAAAGGTTATAATTTTGTTTGTGAGCTTAATACTCAGGCTTTGGTAAATACTAGTCTGGACTCTAAAGATAACTGGAAATTTATCAACTCTGCCTAGTACTTACATCATCTTTATCATTCACTGGCACTCCAAGCTGCAGCAAGAATTCAACAATTTCTGTATGTCCGGCTGAGCATGCCCAATGCAATGCGGTTCTGCTGTCCTACACGGGAGAGAAGCAATCAGGTCAACATTCTTGAAGAGAAATAGAAGAACTAAGGCAAGGAAGCAGAAAAAAATAATACTGGGGGCTGCAAACCTGTAGTTTGGAAACAAGAAATGGAGAGCACTGGATCCTCAGGTAGGTAACCTTAAACCATATTATTACTAGTAAAAGAGAGACTAAGGTTTTACTAACATGGGGAAAATATACAGATGAATGTAAATAATTCTGGGTAGAATACAGCCATGAAAGCAACAGAGTAAGAAACTAATTTCAATGCTTTGGCAGAAATAGAGCTTTGGCTGTTTAGTATTGTATTATTTAGATACTTTTATGTCAGGCACTGTGCTCGGAGTTTTACACGAATATGATTTAATTCCCACAATCCTATACAGTGGCTATTATCCCTCATTACAGATGAGGAAACTAAGACTCCTCAGGGTAAGCAACTTGTCCAAGGTCACACAGCTAGTAAATGACGAAGTAGGTACACAAATCCCTATCTTTCTGACTCTGAAATTTCTAGATGCTCTAGAAAAAACAAATACATCTTACGGGGAAGAAATGTTAATAAAACTAGTTGAGATTATCTATATATCCATTTAAAAAAAACATCACACACAGAATTAGAGAGCAACAACGTTACATTGAGAAAACAATAAGCTAGGGGTTAGTCGTATTTCTCCAAGGGAATCCCTTTTTTCAGTGACTGCTGTATTTCTCAGCCATATGTAAAAGAAACTGGTATTTTAACCTTCATTACAAAAATTTTCAAACACATATAGAGGAGATATAATAGAAATCCATATGCCTATCACCTAAATTTAATAAATATTTTGCCATATTTGCTTTGTCGAATTTTTTCTTTGCTGGATTTTAAAATTCTAAATATCATGATTTTCCATCTCTAACTATTTCGATATCTAAAAAATAAGGATTCGTTCCAACATAGCTTTGAGACCATTTTTACCCCTATTAAAATTAACAGTAACTCTAAAAAAAGAAAAAAAATAAAAATAATAAAAAATGAACATTAACTCCTTTATAACATCTGATAACCAGTCTGTGTTCAGATTTCCCCAACTGTCCCCCAAATGTCTTTTTGCAGTTGGCTTGTTTCAATTAGGATCCATATAAGGTCTACAAATTGCATTTGGTTATGTTTCTAAGTTTCTTGATCTTGAATAGCTTCCCCCTTTTTCTTCCATTGACTTGATGAAGAATGGTTAGAAGTATTATTTAATTTTAATTTAATATTACTAAATTAAGTTAAAGTATTAAAAATTGCCAGACCATAATGAAGAAAAACTAGGCAACGATAAAGCCATTTGCAGGTTGTGTAATAAAAGAAAGTTCCAGAAAAAAAGTCTCCTGCCATCTAACTCTTTTCCCAAAGACGCAAAATAGAGATTTCTAAGTATGTGACACTGTCTCACTAGTGCTTAGCGCAGTGCCTGTCAAATAGGAGGCAATCTATAAATTCTTGCTGACTTAGTGAGGGCACCGTGAATCTTTCTAGAAACTCAGGGTGAAAGCATGAGGGTCCTTTGAGCAGGAGGGCAGAAACACTTCCCAAAGTCCATTTGCCTTTGTTTCGCCTCTGCCTAGAATGCCCATTCACTCTTCAAGGAAATCACACTCATCCTTCAAGGTCTAACCTCCCTTGCGAAGCCTTTTCAATTACAACATTTGGCTTTTTTAAGGGAGATTAAAGCAGGTCCTCCCATTATATGTCCTGAAAGCATCAAGTAAACTTTTCTCCCGAGTTTTTAGCACAATTTGTAATCGGACATGCGATTTGGGATTACTTTGTTAATGTTTGCTTCTTCCACTCGACTGTCCCCAACTCCTGGCAAACTGCCTGGCACATTTGATTCAATGTCTTTCATTGAATCAAATTATTTGTAAAAGTAAAGACACCTTTAAAAAAAAAACTAAAAAGCTTTCCTCCTCATTGGTATCTCAAAGATTGGGCATTTCTGAGAAACGCAATACACGTCCTACAAATATCCAAAATTCAGCGATCTAAGTACTAGGCCAAAAAAAAAAAAAAAAAGAATTGAAGTTTGCCAGGCTAGCTCCAGCCGCCCGGTTCGGAGTCCTGAGGTGACCCAGGACGAGGATGGGGCGGCGAGGGCGGGGATCTGGCCCTCAGAGAACCGGCCTCAGCCTGGGCCGCGCGAGGTAGCCAGGTTGGGCTACGTCACCGCCGCCGCCTGCAGAGGCCCCAGCGCTGCTTTACCTGGTCAGTTCTAGTAGCCAAAGATTTATCGGCCAAGATCTTCTCCTTCAATTCCTCCAGATTCCCGTTGTAGGCCAGATTGCAGACCGTAAGGTTAGACACACACCCCTCCATTTCGCTTTCCCAGGCTCTCGGTGAAGTAAGACCATGGACCGCCTCGCGTTCCCGGCTCCGACTGCCAATCAAAAATGCCGATAGAACTCCACCAATCATCGACTTTCCTCGTTCCTTTGCAGGGCGCCTCTGGGAGTTGCAGTTCGAGCTTAGTTCCCGGCCAGGAGGCGCCTTTGCTGCTTTCACCGACTGGGCCTATAGCAGCGCGAAACTACAAGTCCCAGGGACCCTCTCGGCCACCGTAGTCAAGTGGCCGATGGAATTGGCCCAGGATGACAGCTGGAGAATGGAGTCAGGTACTGGGAGCGGCTTCGTGTGGAACTGGGGTGGATGGTCGCTGTGGGGTATTGAGTCGGCCACGCGAAATGGGTGCGGAGTCATGGCAAGAGAGTTAGAGGTGCCTAAAGATCTTGTCCCATGAGGGCCCTGACCTGCAGT